AAAGACCAAGATTCCTTGCGAACAGAGCATGCGCAGAACACACGCTTTGATGGGGATATCCCGATATGTGTTTACACGACCAAACATTCGGGTTAGAAAAGGGTTACCCTAGGTGTAGTAACCGGGTTTTTAAAAACCCGGTTATGAGCATATCTGGGTTTTTGGCGGTGTTTACATGCAGGGGCGTGTCCAGGGAGTGGCCTGGGGTAGCACATGCCACCCATGGAATATGATTGGCCACCCCAGGTGCCACCACACTAATTTACCTTTAAATAGGCTTTTCATAGTCCACTAAAGGCTTGGGGGTAAAACAAAAAAAAGCATAATCAGTGGTGCCACCCATGCACAAAGTTGTGCCTCACCTGGGCCACCCCATTTTAAAAGATCTGGACACGCCACTGTTTACATGGACCTGCGGAACCGGGTTATTGTGAATATTCGGGTTTTAAAAGGGTTACTGGCTGCATGTAAACGTATGCAACACACTCACCACTAGTCGAGTTTGCATCCTTTAGCAAAACTAATCAGCTTGAAAAGCCACAGCAGAGAAATGCAAATCAGATCCTCTTCATATATCAGAGAGGCTTTCCCAGGGAATTACTCCCGTCTCTGGGAAGATCAGTCACATGAAGTTACTGCTTTCTCAGGCCAGAAACTGCAACAGAATCTAAAGAAACAATTAAAAAGAAAATCCAAACAACAGGCTTGATGCAGCTGTTGCCTATTTATGTGCTATTTAGTTGTTTACATTGTTTGCACGTTCTCGAGCAAAAACGTGTCCACTGATCAACTAAATCTCTCAGCCCGACAGATTTAATCCCAAAACAACCGCAGACAGTAAAACTGAGTGATTACGAAACAGAGAGCAATCTTTGTTTTCCATAAGGGACGATAAGAGGAGATCAGCCAGATTAAACAGAGAAAGAACTGTTGGTTGAAGATGAAACAAGTCCTGGAGAAGATCAGCGGTTGGAGGAGCAATACCAACACTGTTCAGATTAGAGAATAGTGGCAAGTTTAATTAGCTACTATAATATCAGTGCCTTGCCCAAGGGCATTTGGGGACCGGGGAACAAGCATAATATGCAATTTACACAGTCCTGGACCACCAACCAATCACACTGCAGGGATCTCATATCTCTACAACTCCTGGGAAGATATGCGTCATTCAGCAGCAACTCAGTCTCCAACAGCTAAATAATAGAATCAATTATAATAAAAACATTTGAATATTAAGTCAAATCCTACAAAAAATCAAAATCAAATGTAATGACAGCTCAAGCAAGGTAGAGTTGAGCCTGCCAGTTACTAACTAGTTAGCTGTGTTTGTGGTTATTTTCATGCTTCTTCAAACTGACCACAATCATCACAAAACCCCAACAATGGCATCGCCACAAGCTCCTAAACATTTACATTAACGGTAATTATTTAGCATTCACATGCAAGTATACCCGTCCAGCCTGCAAAAGGGCTGTGCCCAAATTCAGTGGATGCATCCCCTCCTAGCCTGTATTTCAAGGCTGATGATACCACAGCAAAGCAAAAAGGCTGCCCAAGCTTGTTTTAAATGCAAGTATATTAAAGGGGCATTATGGAAGTTTGACAGCCAAAACATGTATAGAAATAATAAATTTCTTCTTCATACGTTCTCCTGCAATGCCCTGGTCCTGTAGAATGAGCCCTGGCATTTTTACTGTGATTGCCTGTTTTTCTGTAAAATCACAGAAAAAGAGAGATGCTCGGGTCGAGCAGGCTGCTTCATGCGCGTTCACGCTCAGGCATAGCCCGTAGCATTTGCTATCAGTAGCTTTAGTAGCAGAGAGTGAGGTAGTGCCAACTCAGCAACTTTGTCGCTGTTCCTAACGCCTAGTGATGAACCTAGCTACATTTCTGAGGACGCTTAGCTACTTTCTTCTAGATATTTCCTGCAAATTAGCAACAAAATAGCCATTGTCGCTCCGAACCGTTCTTTGAACATTGTTTCAGCTGTCATCAAGGATATAAAAGTTACAGATACCAAAGATGTCACTGGTGATTTAGCTCACTTAGACGTCGCACTCTTGTGCAGGAGACCCGGGTTCGATTCTGGATGTGAACATAGTTTATTTAGAGTTTCTTTTTTACATTAATGGTATATTTTTTTAAAGTAAGATGCCCAAATTTTTATTTGAGACTCGCGGAACGGCACAGATAAAAAAGATGTGGGTTCAACTTTCATTTTGGAACAATTTTTCAAGCAAGGGAAGGGAATGATCTGAGCATGCAGGAGGACTGACCCATCTTAAACCTTTGTCGGCTGTGCTGAAGAGAAAGGTACAGAACCAAATTATTTAATTAATTAGCTGCGCGTTCTCCTGTCCTCCGCCCCCCCCCCCCACACACACACACACACACACACACACACACGACTGTCTCAGCTGTTATTTTCGTTAAGGAGTGTGCACGTACAGCATGCGCGCCTCGTGCACGAACCTACTATTGAAGCTGCCGTTACGCTTTTGGCCTGAGGGGGCAATCGCGAGCATGAAAATTCTAAACTCCGTAAAGTCCCTTTAATATTTGGTGGTACAAAAATCAAATGTTTAAATCGGTTGTGTTCTTAGGCTTTTTCACATGCTTATCGGTCCTTTTTAATACCCATCCTATTAACCGGGTCCTTACAATGATGCTACCCCTGAATTTGGACACAGTCACAGTCTAAATATTCTAAGGAAATGGTGTCCAATCCTAGCCCTCGAGGGTCACCATCCTGCATCTTTTAGAGTTTTCTCTGTTTTAACTCACCGGTTAGAGGACCACTGGTCTAAGGAATCTGCCCATGCCAAGTTGGAAATGTTTTCTAAACATCATCAGGTAAATCTATTTCGCTGTTGTAGCTAATGAATAGGAGCTGAATGATACTGACAGCACCAGCATGATTGGGTAGTTCCAGACGGTATACCGGGAATCGTGGTCAGGGAGTGTGCCAGTGAGCTGGCAGGTATCCTCACCAAGTTGTGACAGAGATGAGGCAGCATACCGGGCAGAGGTCAGTGATCTGTCAAGGTGGTGCTCGGATAACGACCTCACTCTGAATGCACGACAAGCAAAAGAGCTCACCCTGGATTTCAGGAAGCACAGTCACACACACGCCCCTCATAAATGGAGAGCGCGTGGACTGTACCCCCTCCATCAGGTTCCTTGGCAACACCATCTCTGCTGACCTGTCCTGGTCTGCCAACACCAGAACTCTGGTTAAAAAGGCTCAGCAGCAGCTGCACTTTCTCCGGGTCTTGAGAAGGTGTGGCCCGGATCAGAAACAGCTGCTGGCTTCCTACCTGTGCTACGTGGAGAGCGCCTTCACCTACTCTCTGAGTGTGTGGCGTCCAGGCTCCACAGCTGAGGACAGGAAGGCCGTTCAGAGGACAATAATCACCGCCCAGAGGATTATTGGCTACACCCTGCCATCCCTTGAGGCCATCTCCTGAACCCGCTGCATTCCTCTGTGGCCCCACCCACCCCGCCCACTGCCTGTTTGACCTGTTGCCCTCAGGGCGCCGCCACAGGTCAGTTCGATCACATACCACCAGACTTTCCAACAGCTTCTTCCCTTGGGCCATCAGAACATTCAACACAACAGCACCATTCAACCCCCACATCCCCGTCAGTAATGTGGACTCATCTGTTTTAAATCCTTTTAAATTGTTGTTTGAGCAGATCTGAATCACTGGTTTGCGCTGCACTTTCTCGGTGTTCTGCTAAAATGTTTTTAGTCCTCTAGGTTTTTGATATTTATTGTTATTTATTGTCTTTAGCACTGTTGATGGCAGGCCATCTGTAAATTAATTGCCATGAGCAATAGCAATAAAGTCTATTCTATTCTATTCTATTCTGTGTCGGCCCAACATTATATGTTGGTTTTCCAAGACTAAAAGGCACCTTTTCATTTCATTTTCTTGAGCCAGTATGTGGTAACATTACTCTTTACGACATTAATGAACCATCACTCAGACCCCACTGCTCCCTGCGGCCAGAATACCAGACTTTCAACGTCCGAGTTGTCGGTCCGGTCCCTGCTGGTGGGGGGGAGCTGACACGGTGGAGCTGGAGTCTGCTTCCAGCACAACTCCTGCAGGTTTTAGATCCTGAACACAGCTGATCTGTTTGATTTAGTGATGAATCGCTCCTGTAGACACTAATTAAAGCCGAATTAAAGCATATAGCAGTTAGATTAAGGTGTTAAAAAGATGTGATAATTTTAGATTTAGCACAGCGAATTAAGGACGGACACTAGGAGATGCTAAAAGCAAGCAAAAGTGCCTAGTTTCCCTTTAAACCAAAGTGAATTAAAACTCACTAATATGAGCATCAGCTCTCCATTGCCGGTCCAAAAAGTATGACTTTAAAATACTGAACTAAACAAAGTTTCCCTGTAAACTACTCTGACTTTTAAACAGAGTCATGCCACCAGTATAGTTCCAGCTTTTCTCAAAGCCCGTTTACGGTCAATAGCTGCTGGTTTTGGGGGATTTAAAAGCCAGACTGGGGAGAAGGATCACAAGACATCACGTGTTCTCATGTAAAGTAAAACAGACCAGTAAAAGACAAACAACTACCAAACAGATGTCTGTTTAGAGCACAGAACAACACTGACTCAAGCTCAGACTGGTCAAGCAGCTGAGTCATTCTGATAAGTGAGCCACAGGTATTTACTGCTGGACCAGCTGACTCAGGACCAGTTTCTTTACACAGCCTGACAAATTCACACCACTGACCTAAGCAGCTTCAATTTTCTGTAAAGCTGTGACACTCACTAGGCACCACAGAAGCTCACACTCAAACATGGACAGAAAGCTGGAGCAGAGATCGACTGATCTCGTCTCTCTGCAGCGATGCAGCCCCCCCCCCCCCCCCCCCCCCCCCCCGAGCAGCAGCAGCAGCAGTATGCACAGCCAGATCCACACAGCATTAAAGCAGAGACACTTCAAAAGGAAATGCTTTCAGCAGCACTGTGTACACACCTTGGCATTAATATAGGGGTCAAAGGGCCCACAGCGTTTGAACTCTTTATGGTCTACAGAGCTCTGCAAGGGAGGAAGAGAAGGTAAGTCGATGGTTTGGGTTCAGACAAGCAATGAACAAATAAGTGATGATCATAAATGAGTCGAGCTAAAAGAAAAATGGAGAAAATACTGAGTTAATGAACAAACAATTGTAATGAACAGGCAGGGAGAAATGGCACAAAATGAGTTCAGATCTCATCGAGCTGCAGCTGAAGCTAATCAGAATGTGCTTGTTCAATAAAAGGTTAAAAACAGCTCAGAATGTGTCATTTCTCTATTAAAAAAGGACAGAGCAGAGGTGCTTTTAGTCTGGAGGCCATCTGTGCATCAGGCAACCAAACACCAACATCAAAGATGAAAGTTTAAACTGTTAAATTTGTTAGAGGAAGCGAGACTAGCACAGCATCAAAGCACTGTCGCGTTATTAAAAGGGAGAAGTCGGCAATTCTTCTCCACATACATCCGGTTGGAATACCGATCATGCCATGCTCAAATAAAGACTTGGAATAACAGGATCTCCATGTGGAAGTCATGGGAGGCTGAAACCTGTGACTGTGACACACCCAGAGCTGCCTTTGCATCGTCCTCTGAAGACTTTAAAGTAAAAGTAAAGCGTGAGTTTAGCGCCGACTTCCTGGCCCAGGTATCTTCTTACAAAAATCCGGAACTACGTGTTAAACTTCTCTGAAAAACTAAACCCGGAACTGTAAGTGACCCGTTTGTGACACGAGAGTCGAGGGGCGAAGGCGGAGGCAGACCTGCTCGTTGAGTTTGGGGTGAGAAGGTCCTTGGTGAACGAGGAGTTTCACGATCTGCTCGTCTCCCTTCCACGCAGCCAGGTGCAGAGGGTAGCAGCCCTTGTTGTCTGCAATGTTGGTCAAGGCCTCGTTCCGTAGCAGCGCCTCCACCACGTCGCTGAGGACACACGAAGCGATGGCACGAGTCAAGATCATTAAGAAACACACTAGCGAATAAACACGGCCAATCAATAGACGACTGTGTGCAAGCGTAGACCTCATTAAACACACAGAGGAAGGAGAAACTCTGGAGAGGAGGGGGCAACACCAGAGTACTCACACACACTGTCTGGGTGTGACGAAGAGAACTCCATAGTTTCTCCACATCTGATAAATTCAGTTTAAAACGCTGGTTTTTAGCAGCAAAGAGAGATAAAAATCCCTTCAAGGTATGCGCTGTCTTTAATTTAATTTCTTTAAATGATTTTTTTAGCTGGTTGGCCTTTCCACTGCATATGCAAACCATCGTTTTTAAAATTGCATTTCAACAAAAGGACAAAATGTTGAATTTCAGGACAGATTACGGCAAATTTTTGTAGAAAGCTTGGAAAGGAAAGTAGACTTTAAGAATAATGACACACCGAGTTTTGACAGCAGTGATTTTCTTCTAGCAAGCTCTGATTTCTCTTAGCATTAGAACCATGGAGTAGCACAAAACAAAGTTGTCTAACCTGCAAAGATGGAAGAACTGCTTAGTCAGTGCAACTGCTCAGCAGCTTCATTTGCCTCGATGTGCACAATATCACCGTGGATAAAGTGAGAAAATGCATTGGCCTACTTTGTTCAAAGCATGCTTGGAAGACCGATAACGAATAAAAGGAAAAAAAAACAGACTTGGTGAGAAGAGTCATATTCAGCGCGTTTACATGCAGCCAGTAACCCTTTTAAAACCCGAATATTCACAATAACCCGGTTCCGCACGACCATGTAAACACCGCCAAAAACCCGGATATGCTCATAACCGGGTTTTTAAAAACCCGGTTACTACACCTGGGGAAACCCTTTTCCAACCCGAATGTTTGGTCGTGTAAACTCATACCGGGATATCCCCATCAAAGCGTGTGTTCTGTGCATGCTCTGTTCGCAAGGAATCTTGGTCTTTTGAGTAGCGAGACGTCTCGTATGCGCCAGAACACCGGAAGTAAACAACAAGTTGGGAGCAACATGGCGAGTCGCGGCACAGCACCACACTTTTGGAGTGACGAGGAAAACTCTGTCTAGGGATGGGTACCTTTGACATTTGAATCGATCCGGTACTAATTCCCAGTACCTACGAATCGATACCGGTACTTAACGGTACCAATTTTCGATACTTTTGAGTGTTTAATATTTTAATTCTCTTTTATAATTAGATATATATTTTTCTCAATTTATAACCATATTTGATAAATATCACGATAAATAACATACAAATGTTTGTATTTTAACATCGTCCTTGTAGTTTTATAAGCTGATAATTAAACTGAAGCAAACATCTTTACTGTGAACTAAATTTATTTTGTATCTTCATTCCTTTTACCGTCCTTTTACAATTGATTTTTCCTACTGGGAAGCTAGAATTTCCGAGGAGAAAGCGAACGCACCATTAGATGATAACAACGGTGGCAATGGAAGCTAACATATCAAGCTAACGTTATCTTAAACAGTTTATTTAGCTGCTGGAGCAGATTAAAATGATGACGCCTCACACTTAGATCGTTGTCGCTGGTTTCATCTTCACCCAATCACCCATCGCATTTAGTAAAGTGAAGCCAAACTTTAGAGCGCGTTCATGTTCTTCTAGTCAGAATTTCGGAGTTCCGAGGAGAAAGCAAACGCACCATTAGCGGAACGGAAGCTAACATATCAAGCTAACGTTATCTTAAACATTTTATTTACCTACCGGAGCAGATTAAGACGAGGATGTCTCACTTATATCGTTGTCGCTGGTTTCATCATCACCCAGTTACCCATCACATTTAGTGAAGTGGACCCAAGCTTTAGCGTGCGTTCTTTCTACCATGCTGCTCTGTTTACAACTGGCTCGCAGCGACCGACGACATAACGCTCTTGCGCATGCGCAGCTGTCTAGGCAAGTTCTCGTTGTGAAGGACGGGTACCGAAACGAGGCACCGTTTCATATGAAGTGAATCGGTGCTCGGTCGGTACTGTGGAATTCGGTCGGTACCTGAAAAAGTACCGAATTCGGTACCCATCCCTACCTCTGTCTTCATCGGTCTGGTGAAAAGTATCAACATTATGTCTTTTGTTGACGGCCGAAAGTACAGAGACAGCGAAATATGACGCATATTGCATCTGGACGTAGTCCACACGTCCTGACGCTTCCCCAACGTCCGCATTTAAATCGGGTTATGCAAGTTAGTGGTAACTCTTTCTATTTATGCTTGCAAACGGGTTATTCTGATCAACTCAGAAACCCGAATACCGACCTTAACCCGATCATAACCCGGATATTGGCTGCATGTAAACGTAGTCATTGATTGCTCAAGTACCTGTGTCCATTAAGAGCGGCGTGGTGCAGAGGGGTGTATCCAGAGTTGTCCACACAGTTCACATTCGGTCCTCTCCAGATGCTGTCAGGGACAAACAAGATTGTTAGGCTTCTTAGGTTAGGTGTGACTGCTCCTGATCTGATTGCAATCTCAAGGCCTTGGTTTCACTCAGGTGGATGATATCACCACCCAGCTCCACCTGCATATAGGTGAGGTCATACATTCATATAAATCTCAAAATTCAGTATAGAAGTGGCGGTATCAGAAAAGGCCAGATGAGCTGGGTCAGGTTCCGCAGGAGAAGCGAATTAGAGCTGCAGGATGGATCATCACCGCAGTGTTCATGTGCACAGCAAGCACATCACAGAGGAAACTAAACTTCACGTATTCTCATCAGATGTGTGATTGTGGACTTCAGGAAAGTCACAGCCCCATCTCTCCCCCTCGTCCTGACGGACACCCCTGTCACCACTGTGGACTCCTTCCGCTTCCTCGGAACCACCATCACACATGACCTTAGGTGGGAGCCATCCAATCAATCAATCAATCAATCAATCAATCAAAGCTTTATTTATATCCATCAGCTCCCTGCTCAAAAAGGCCCAGCAGAGGATGTACTTTCTGCGGCAGTTGAAAAAGGCCAAGCTGCCGGCCCAGATGATGGTGCAGTTTTACACGGCCATCAATGAGTCCATCCTCACCTCCTCCATCGCTGTGTGGTACGCCGGAGCCACAGTAATGGACAAACATAGACTGCAGCGCATTGTGCGCTCTGCTGAGAAGGTGATTGGCTACAGCCTGCCATCTCTCCAGGACCTGTACGTCTCCAGAACTCGGGGGCGTGCAGGTCGGATAGCAGCTGACCCTTCTCACCCGGGTCACAGACTTTTTGAGCCTCTTCCCTCAGGCAGGAGGTTACGGTCCATCAGGACCAGAACCTCCCGCCATAAGAACAGCTTCTTTCCATCTGCCGTTAGACTTGTGAACAGCTTATAAACACAAAACCATGCTGATCTTCTGTACTCAACACAACATCAAGTTATCGGCCATGTTACCATTACCTGCCATTTTTTATAGCTGAAAGTTTTATTCTAGTTTTATTCTATTTTATTCTATTTTTAATCTTATTATTATTCATGTTATATGTAGCACATTAGTACCAAAGCAAGTTCCTAGTTTGTGAATTGTTTGTTCACTGACAATGGCAATAAACCTATTCTGATTCTGATTCTGATTCTGATTCTGATGTGAAGAGCAGCAGACGCACAGCGATCCACCAATCACAACTGTTGTTATTAAAGTTTGGGGACGCAGACCATGAGAGGTCGGCACAAGAGATATCCTTATTTTCTGAATTTCATTGGCTACTTTATGCATCAATTGTCAATGTACTGCACTAAAATCGGTTAAGGCCGTGTGAAATGGTCTTTTGACCGACTGGCCAAAAGCTGAGGAATTTGCCTCAGCAGGGGCGGTAACCCTTCACCTACGTGGTAAGATCTTGATCAAAACCCTCCACATCAAGGGTGGTGCTGAAGCTTCTGTGAGCACGCTAAAGAAAGAGATGCATCTGAAGGAAATTCTGAAGGTTTTCAGCGGTATATTACGTCAGATTGTGGATGCAAGACTCAATGTGGACTATCAGTTATATTGAAGGACATTTACTGTGCCCTTGTGTGTGTATGAAGTCTATTTTTGTTTGAGATTGGTTCGGTCAATGAAATGAGGCTTGGAACGATGAGTCGGACACATTTAGCATTTCTGAGTGGTTTGTTTTATATTATAGCTACAGTGATGACCTGGGAGACCAACAGGTTCATTCTAAACAAGATGGCAGGAGTGCAGCTTCACTTCCAGTGCTATTAGAGGCATCTGGTGAAGATTCCCGTATTTTTAATGTTGCATATACGTTACAGGTATAGAAAAATGGGAAGTATTGTCCAATATGGAGCGGCCTCAAACAGAATTCTGGGAAAATAGAAAAATTAAAGGTAAAAGAATGAGCTAAAGGGGACTGCGGAGTGAGGTGCGAGACAGGCCAACATGACCCCGGCAATATCGTTTGTGCTGAACTCAGCTGTCCAGTTTTATTCTGCTATTCTCTTATCGTTTAAAAGGAACGCTATGGCGAGAGAGAACAATGCTGGAGTGGAGAAGAGCGGTGAGAGAAGGACAAAGGGTGTTATTTAACCAGCTAAAGGATGTCTGGTGACACAGAGAGGACCTCAGCACACATCCTAAATAAATCATCCAGAAATCCCAGCATGAGTGAACCAAATATCCCAGACCGGAGTCATCCGCTATACAGAGAGAGAACTGGAGCAAAAGAGCTGGGCCTGGCATACAATCAATAATAAATAGAGACTTTACATCTTTTTATAACTATTTCATTCTGATAAACGGTAGAAAACTCTAAAAATGTCCCATTCACACACACACACACACACACACACCTCTTTCTGATGCTGCAGTAATGGACGGTTTTTGCCCCTCCTCATCTAAAATACATCTCCCACAATAGCTCTAGAAGCAGCCTGCAATTACACAGAGCGAGGCGTCTCATTAAATAAGTGTCTCGTCGGACTCCGTAGCCTGCAGAACAATGAGGCCTGACAGAGCACAGACGAACACAGAGATGCTCCACTCGCCTCTTCAGATCCTAAGCTGTTTATTCCTTACACAAGAGACTTCTGGGTCCCTGCTTAAAGCCTCGACAGGGAAAGTGTTGCAGGAGGAAACACGGGGACTATTACACTTCTGCTGAAGACGGGCAAATGTTTGATTTTGTCATTTCTCATGAAAAAGCACACTCTGTTGACACTTCCTCTTGGTTTCTAGCTACCAAATTTGCAGAAAAGAGTGCAGTGGTGCACACTCTGTGGGAAAATAAGACAGAAACAGACCTCTGGTTCCTGCCCTAGATAAACAGTTATGTAACTATGAGCAACCCCCGTCCAACACACATATTACCATAAACATGACCATAACTGGAAACTATAGCATATATCCACCATAGGGCACTAATGCCTACTAGAGCAACACAAGGATTACACAACCTGATTACCTCAGACTGAAAGGAACCTTAATTTTGTAGTTTTACAGTTTTGTGTTCCATGCACTGTGGTGTACATCCCAGAACAGGTTTACTAGAATAAACATGTCCTTTAAATTAGAAGTTGGCCATTTTAAAGAGCATCCGAAGATAAAATGTACGATGCATTTGGTAATTGGTCCCCCTCATACGTCTTGAGTCTGAGCTTTCACAGATGTTTCTTTACTTATGCAGATGCTTTTCCCCAATGCGACTTATGGGCCATTCCCATCTGTACCGGGTCGGCCCGGGCCGGGTAGCCCCAGTCGGCCCCAGCCTGGCCCGGTTGATTCCACACATCCTTGTCTTAAGCCCATGTGGGCTGATTCTACCCACCAATCAGAGGCTTGCTCTAATGGAAGGTGTGAATTTGCTGTCAGCAGTGGGTGTGTTGGCCCTGGTCGGCCTGAAGCAGACCCCCTCGAGAAGAGGGCTGAGAATGAGCCTTGGTTGGCCCGGAAAAATACCAGGCCACCCAGATATGTAAACAACCTACGCTAACCGGCCCGGGCCGACCCGGTACAGATGGGAATGGCCCATTACAATGTTTGAGATTCCAGAGCAGTGAAGCTAGCATGAACATTTTTGCTCTGTGGGAGGAAACCGGAGTATCTAGCAAAAAAAAAAAACCTGTGCATAAAAGGCTGTGGCCGTGATTCGAACTCGTGACCTTCTCGCTGCAAGGCAACAGAGCTACCAACTGCGTCGGCAACCCGGCAACAAACATTGTGTCATTGTGTCAGCAGAAATGTCATCCTGAGTATTCTAGTCACTGGCATCTTCATTGGGTGTTGGTCCTGGGATGGACATTCTTGTTCCTTCAGAGTGGACCACCGTTGTACTTTTCTTATACTGCAGTCCATCTGCTTCAAAGTTCAACATGTTGTGGATCAGAGATGCTGTTCTACAGGCCTCAGTTTGAACCAGTGGTTATTTGGGCTACCGATGTCTTTTTCCAGTCAGCCTACTCTTCTATGACCTCTGACCTCAACAAGACATTTCATCATTGCACCCAACCCAAGGCTGCTGACCCAGATGGTTGTTGGTAAAAGTCACTCTACGTGTGTCTAACACCTAGCCTAGTTAACTAGACCAAATTCTTGCTTTGCAACGTTTGGTCTAGGAACGCTCCATTGGAACCTCCCTAGCAGCATTCTGGCTGGCCAATCACAGCTCTCTACAGGGCCCTATAGCGCGCTATGATTGGTCCACAGTGGTGGGCCAATCACAGCACTCTATCTGCTTTGTGGACCTATCACAGCACTTTATCCGGTTTGTGGGCTAATCAGGGCCCTCTATTTGTCTGGTGGGCGGGATGATGCAACATAGTGGAACAAGATGGTGACAGCTCCTTTAAAATGGCTTTTACATACATTTTGGACTATTTGGACTTGTGCGTTATTAGAATCAGGAGCAGACAGATGTATTTAAGTTATTTCTTTTCACCTTCAATTGCAGACTGCCTGGTTTATAGACATCCGTTGCGGTGAGTGTCACGTTGATCATTGTCCAGTAGCATGCAGTGATCATTTGAAAGACAACAGTAGAACCCAGCCCACAACCAAGAGCCGTCAATGGAGCGTTGCCAAACTAAATCATGTATTTATTTAGTCTGGCTTGCCAGGCTATCTAACACCAACTACTGTGCCATTTTCCAAATCAAAAGTCCCATTAGTCATCCCATACTGCAGAAATTCATCTCTGCATTTGACCCATTCCCATTGGGAGCCGTGAGTTGCAGCGGTGGCTGCGCTCGGGAACTATTTGGTGGTTTAACCCCCCCAATCCAACACCGTAAAATTGAGTGTCAAGCAGGGAGCCATTGGGTCCCATTTGTGAAGTCCTTAGTATGACCCGACCAAGATTTGAACCTCGATCTCGCAGTCCCATGCCCACTCTACCACTAGGCCACTGAGAAGGTAATCTTATTAAATCTCATTTCTTCTCTGTTCTGATGCTCATCATGTCTACATGCACTGAGCAGCAGTAG